TGGACAGTTACTTGTCTGAAATCATATAGGGTCCCCTGCTTGAGAAAGGGGTTTGACTAGAAGACCTCCAAGGTCCCTTCCAGCTCTATTCTGATTTGCTCCTACAGGATGCTATACTATAACCCAGAATTTACAAAAATCAATAAATGGGCTCTCTCATTATGCTGAGCAAAACCTGGAAAAAACTCTACTTTATTTCTTAATAAAAATGTGTGAACATAAATGCCTCTAAGGTACAACTCATTTTCTGGGGGGAAAAAATCTTCTACAAAAGAGAGACAGCGACCGCATTAGAGCTGGCCTTAAGCTCCACAAAGATTCCTTTTGAATTCTAGTTGGAGTCTGGCCTGAGAAGTGAAACAAACAAAGAAATCTAGAAGTAGTCAATCACAAACCACTTCCAAATTGTCAAGAAAATCAGACAAACCTATCCATGTGTAACCACTAGAAGTCAAGCTCAATTTGAGGGAGTCTTACCTTTTTTCTGCTGCTTCATTCCATGGCACCTGCAATGGTAAATTCATATTCAAGACCTCCATTGCATGTGTACTTGCTTACAGAAACATTACAATATTTCAAATATTTTATGTAAGGAAAAATTAAAAGATCCAACTATGAGCAACAAATAAGCAAAGTCCAGGAAGGCAATGTTCCCAAAGCACATTGAGCTATGAATAATAAACCAAAATGGTTGGTTTCATATGACGTGCTATGGCAAAACCAAATCCATCATCTTTTGGCTTGGTGCAATGCATAAACCTAATTTATGTAGAAGATATCTCAGATCAGTCTCTTCCAAATCGATGCCTTTGAAAGAGATGCTGACTGGGAATAATTGGAATTATAACCTCAGAGGGTACCAAGTTAGAAAAAGTGAATAAGATTAGCAGAAAAAGACATATGGTCTAATCACTTTCTCCACATCAAGGATATTTCATCCTGAGTCTGTTTTAAGTAACTGTTCACAGCAAAGATGTAGTGGGTATTTTAATATAACTGTCTTGATTTATCACTGATTTGTCTTCTACTCCAACTCCTACTCACCAAAAGAATTGCATCAATTTATGCTGGTTGCTGAGGGGAGTAGGGTGTGAGCTTATACTTTCTATCTATTTGAGGAATTCTTCTCTATTTTGGTGTCTGGGTGATAACACGAAAGGGCCCCCAAGGTTTTTGTAGAAAATTAAGTTTCTTTTATTGCACAGCAATAAACCAAGAGAATTTTCAGGGAAGGAAATTTTGCCTTTCTATTGTTTACTGGCTCTCAGTTGCACACAACCCACCCTAAAGTTTGAAAGAATGGCATGTGTTTTGTTCTTCAGTGTTGGGTCTACAGACAAACAGCTCTTTGTGTCTCTAGGGTTCCTAAGGCACCTGTTCCCCCGCCACTTCATTCCTCACAGTCCACCCTTACTTATCCCTGCATGTTCTGCTTGCTGCGCTTGCCAACAAGCTGCCTTGGCCACCTCTTCCTCAGTCAACCTGTTGAAAGCAGAGGCCCACAGTTGTTAAGTCCAGATATCTGCAATGCTGATATCAGGCATTTGTTCTGGGGAACCCATGGCACACATAATACAGTGTGGGAGAGAATCGTAAGTGGAAGTGTTTAGTGCTATTTTTGCAATTGGACACTGAGCCAATGAACATCTTAAAATGTTTAGCTGCAGCAATCAAGGTCTCTGTAGCAGAATGTGCACATTCAGAGGTGGTCACCTCAGAATAGAACTTTTTGTCTACACTAATATAACACAGATTACACCACAATGAGGAAGTCCCCAGTTTGAAATTCATAAAGTGGCCACAACAAGCCAGTTCTCCCATCCACAAGTAATCTTACAGTGCAATCACATCTATGTCTACTCAGAAAAGCGTTGACTGGTTCACATATCATGCGGCCATCATTTGCTTAACCTTGTTTTTTTCAAGAAGCCACAATTTTTTAAATACTTTTTATCCCGCTTTTATTATTTTTTATAAAGAACTCAAGGCAGTGAACATACTTCTCTATTTGGCGATCAACAGGGCTTACTGGAGCATTGCAGACTTAAAAGAGTTAATTAATTAAAGACTTACAGAGGGGTGTTTTTTAAGGACTGTGGTGATGATCTGGGATATCTTCCAAGATGCGATGCACTAATCACCTCAAATACCCCTCACGTTGAGCTGCACAAAACAGAATTGAGAACCAGATTTCATCTTTTAGTCTTTTGCCAGAAGTCATGCTGTAAAATGTGAACACAACTCATTTTTTGAATAGGATCAAAACAACACCAAAATGGTATTTCATTTAATCTTAACATTACCTTGATTTATACATTGGTTACATTAGATACTGTTAATTATTCACCATATATTTAAAAACACCCCCTGTCTGTCATAATAAGCATTATAATTTGTCAAAAATATGGGCTAGGATCTGGTAGTGTTGCAGGTTAGCACTGCAATGTAAGTTAAACTGATTTTTTTTACACTGGCATAAAAATGGATTAGTAGAATTACAAGGTCAGGAACAGTGTCTAGAACAGGAAAAGGGACCACACAAAGCTGTGCTACAGCAAGGAAAATGAAAAATTGGAGACATGTTGCTTACCAAAACTATGGCATTGTTAGTCAACTGAAACAAAACAAATAGTTCTGTGGCACTTTATGAAAAAAGCTAATTAAACAGGTCTCTGATTATTCAAGGATTACCAACTTTTTAAAAAGTTTATTACATCTCAAACAAGAGATAAAATAGAAAGAAACAAAAAAGGAAATTAAAGGTCAGAAATAAAGGAAAAATTAAAAGTGCAGAATTTTTTTTTTTTAAAAAGTAACCTCCAACTTTCTTCAGCACAGATATAAATATAAAATACATTACCTTATAATAATATAGAGTATTTACATAATCATGAACAGGATGTAATTGTCAAACCCCAAAATGTAAATTTCATTTCTTTCAGTTTCAAGTAAAAAGTTCAACAGCGGTCTCCAATTAGAAACCAAGCTGGACAAAGTTTTTTCTTTAATCAAAGTAGTCAATTTTGCCATCTCAGCTAATTCCATTAACTTCAGCATCCACACTTCCATTGTAGGAATTTGTAAGCCTTTCCATCTCTGTGCAACTGTTATTGTTGCTGTTGTTGCTGCTGTTGTTATATAAAGGACTACCAACTTTTAAGTGTAACAACAAAAAGAGCCTCAAAAAAGCTAGTTTTCACTAGAGAATCAAGTCCCAGAGTCACTGGGAGTAAGATGGCATATACATTTATTAGTATTACCACTAAATGCTCTGCATTTAAATCATGTTGCTGCAAGTCTAAAGGGGCAAGCAAATCCCTGAATATTCCTTGTAGTTTAAAAGATTCTGATACTTGAAGCGCTGAGAATCTAAAGCAGAACCAATACTCCAACCATATATATCTGTTGCCTGTTAAGATTTCAAGTTATAAGCAAGAACACTTTGCTGGCTAACAGTGCCGGAAAGCTTTTGCACCATCAGAATCCATATTCCTTGTGTCCCCACTAATCAATTTTTCCTCCCCTTTGCTCAGAAGACCCCCATAAATGTCTCTTTCTGACTCAGCATGAAAGGTACTAGTATTCTTTAAAGGTGACACTTTACTTTAAGTGAGCTCAGCTGGGACTACTTTGGTAGACTGGTGCCTTTTTTATTGCCAGCAGCCCCGCTGGGCTCCTGGTCATGCTGAGTTCTTTTAAAAGACATGGCAATTTTCTGCATCTCCTCCACAGCTTATATCCACAAAAGTGAAAAGTGTTAAAAGTAGCTCTAAGACTTGCCCCCCACGGTGATGTATTCTGGCTCCCAGCCTTGACATAGGTTTTCTGGTATGATATGTTCCCAAGAGATACAGCTGTCTTTGTCTCCAAGCTGACTTGGAGTCAATTGCTTCAAAAGAACTAAGGCCATAAATGGGTTTGGTTGGGGGTGGGGGGTTGCATTCAACATACAATGTGCAAGCCAGGTTTAGTCAGTTCAATTGCAATGGAAGTGGAACACACACCCACACACTCCATATGTCCTTCCAATATCCAAAATTCATCCTTTCTGTATGTTGACATGGACTCTACAAACATATTATGATCTTCCAAGATATTAGTATTACCACTCCAAGAATTATCAATTTGTGTGATCTGTAGACAAAGCCAGGCTATTCCTTAACTTCCAATCGCAGGAAGTTTCTTACCTCTTACTGAGAATTGAAATATTAATATACAAATTAAACATTTTCTTTTGTAATGTCACTTGTTAATTTTTTGTTTTAAACTGTTTTACCTCCCCTATTTTATCTGCTACAAGTATGCGACAGTATGAAAACTGCCTTTTAATGAAAATTGAAATATTAATAGGCAAATTAAAAGAATCTGATGCATTAGCAAGTTTCAGGATTAATAAGCAGAAGATGAGATATTAACAAAAATATAACAATAGGGGACTGAACAAAATTGACTGTCTTTTAAGACTGAGAAGAAGGTAAAATATCTTGGTGACACTAGATCAAATATGAACTCAAATATATTATTTCGTGTGAATACATGGAATGAAATTTAATATGTTATGTTAAGATGGGAGAAACTACAATTGTCATTGCTGGGAAGAAGTTCTGTGATAAAAATGAATATTTTGTCTAGAATGATTTTTTTTGTTTCAGACAATACCTGTTTTTACAACTGATGCACCAGTTAAACAATGGCAAAAAGATACATCTAAATTTAGGGGTGGGGGGTGGAAACAGGAGTTAAACATAAAGTGCTACAAGAAGCAAGGGGAAGAGGAGGATTGGTTTCCCCAGACTTGAAATTGTATTTTGTAGGTTGTTGTTTGTTTTTCATGAAAGAGTAGGTTTTGCTGAAAAACTGAAAGCTTTTTCTGAGTTAGAAGGACATGACCAGAGATTTGGGTGGCATGGATATTTGTGGTACAATAATGTTAATGTGGATTTTTAGAATCATTATGTTAGACAAGCCATACTGAGAATATGGAATAAAAATTGAGGTTGTGCCTGAAAATCCCCTTTGTGGCTTTCAGCACAAGAAGCAACTCTTTATAGACTTGGTACAGGAAAAAGAAAGAAAAAGAGAGAAAAGAGTTATAGTGTAACCACAGAGTTCAATTTATAATTGTACTTTAAAACGTTGTAAAAAAAATTAGAAGCCACTTCTTTGTATCTTTTATTTCTTTGTCCTTCCTTGCACTTTTATCTTTTTCTTTAATTTCTTCCTCTTTTCTTTTTTTCACTTTATATCAGTTTGTATTCGTTTTTAATCTTTTATTTAACAAAAATATTTAAGAAAGGATTACACAAAAAATGGAAACTGCATTTTAATATTTTTCTCTAAGCTACCTTGAATTTTTATTGGAAAGGCAAAATATAACTAACTTCCAATATTTTAAATAAGAGAGAGAGCAATTCTAACCTCCAGATAAGATTAGAATAGGGTGGATAACCTCAGCACAGAAGGAAACAGGAGCTCCATCAACATAGAGACCTCATCCACCTGGAGGCTCTAATTACATCCATGGATGGCTCTTATAACTCTAGCCTTGGGCATTCCAAGGACAGAGCAGCTTTGGTCCAGCAGGATCACAAAATTTTCCCTTCTTTGAAATTGCACCAAGGTCAGATTCCTTGGCTCCTGGGCTTCTCCCCCCCCCCCCACTTCCCCTTCCCCCTCTTCCTCATTAATATAAGTTATTTTTTTAATACTTGGCCGAACAGCTTAACAAAACTGCTCTCTCAACTTCTGGCATGAACAGACAGGCTTTAGAAGTAGCAGAAGATCTGATACTTCGTTATCTACCCAGGATTCCCCAAGACTGCTCTCCATGTCTCTCTAAAGATCCTCTGTTCAACTACCCTTTTTCATTGATACGTTTCCCTAAGAAATGTATTCAAGCCCTTCTCAAAAACAGTTTCCATATGAACATTTTAATATAAAATCTTTGTAGACGTCAGATGGATGGATGGGTGGATGGATGGACAGATAGCAATGAAATGCTATGCACTTCTGTACATGCATGGTTATACATTCATTTCAGAATAGTCTGTTACCTAAGATGCAAATGTCAGGATTCCAAATAACATCCAAATTCAAATCAGAGTCCAAGGCAAAGTATTGCTCAAAGTTCCAATTTATTAAGAGAGTCATGTTGGTACATCTGGGAAAACCCGAATCTGAGCTTCCTGGGTTTCCCCCACCCAGTTGAGAGTTCATGAACTTGCCCCACACCCACAAGTCCATCACATGGTCCAGTTCCAGTCAGGTGCAGAGGTGTAGAGACATGTTTTTTTCCTTTCTTTTTTTAATCTTTGCCTTCATTTTCTTAACATCATTCTGTAGGCTTCTCTGGGCAGAGACCAACGTTTTTCTACCTACCATGTTCTTTGACAGAGTGGTGTAATGCAGCTGACCTTAACGACTGGTCAATAGATAACATTAAAACCTATTTCATTCCATACAGACTTCCCATGCCACTTTAATTATATCCTTTTCATAGGTGGTGTGTGTGTGTGTGTGTGTTTTCCTACTGCATTTACAGAAACTCAGTATACATAAAGAAATAAAAGGAGTGCCAAGACAAATAGATTACGTATCAGGATTGGCAGATCATTGCCTAGTAATTTACCTTTGATCTTTAAGATGTCTAAAAAATACAACAGGCATATTTAATACATGTCAAAGTAGTAACGATTGCTCCCCCCCTCCCACTTCCAGTTACTACTGGTATGTTGCCTCTAGCACAGAAAATCAAAACAAATACAAGGTTAGACTGAAATATAGCTGCACAATTCTACAGGTTATAATCATATATACTAGCTGTAGGTATTACTTTCAATTGTCACAAGTGGTGATAAGATGATGATTTAATGCAATTCCATTATCAATTACGTGCATTATATTCTTCCTGATTCCAATAGAAGAGAATATCTATTGCTTAGGGTTGAACTAATTAGAAGTTCTTTGAACTTTCTGAGCTTGGTTGTTTGTTTGCTTGCTTTCATTTCCCTGCCAGGTAACATCAAAATCATCAGTAACATCACAGGTATTGAAATGACAATAATCATAATCTATATGCAAGAAATGAATGCCTCTCATATTAGGAATCCAAAGGAATAATGATTTTATCTTACAGTGAGCAACACAACATTGTTTTC